TTTGCATATTAGGGTTTTATTATATAGGATTGTGTATAACAGGCTATTGTAAAAATTAAGTTACAAAATTTTAATTAAAATGTTTCTTACATACCATTATATTGGCTGGGCCACAAAAATATTCATTGTGGGCCATATGCAGCTCGCAGGCTGTGAGTTTGACATGCTTGCTATAAGTCTTTAATTCTCAATTGTTTTATAGGGCCCCAACAAGGGTCCTATTCCACTCTTTTGTGTAGAATTCAGTTTGAAAAACAGTTCTCAAGGACCACAAAAGACCTAATCAAATCCAGTGACCCTTGCATTGAACTCTGACCTTTCTGCTTCTGACATTGTAGACCATCTCTTTCCTTCCTGAAAACATTTCCTTCTTTGGTTTCTATAGCTCTTTTCTGGTTCTTTCTCCTCTCTGACAACTCCCATCTCCTTTGGTAGTTCTGTATCTTCTTGTCCTCCCTAATCAGGTATGTTCTGGCCCTTTGTTCTTACAGGAGAGTCTCTTCCTCTCTTACAGCCTCATGATCTTTTCTTCATGGAAGACTCTCAAACCTAGTCTGACCAACCCTGCTTGACTCCAGTGCCTCTGGACATTTCTACTAGATGCTGTCATCTCAACATGTTCTAAAACAAACTTACCTCGTCCTAAAATTTTAGCCCCCTTCTGGTTTCTCTATTTCTGTAGATGATAACAAAATGCCCCTGGCTACTCAATGCAACCTCAGAAATACACTTTACCTTCCTCTCATTAGAGCTTCCTAAATTAGGCCACATGTGACCTTTGGCAAGTCATTTTATCTTTTGACCCATAGTTCCCTCATCTGAAAGAAAGAGAGAAATTACACCTGGCAGGTCTGAAAAGATTATTTATGAATGTGAAAATGCTTAGCTATTTAAATCAATAAATGCCTCTCTTCTCTGCATCAACTCCCCATGGCCTCCAACCAGACAAAAAACTCTTTGAATGTATATGTCATATTTCTATGTATATCCCTAGAATACCTTGCACAGTTGCTTCTATATAGAAGTATCCTAATAAACATTCAGTGATGCTCATGGATAAGCAACTAAAGGAATAAATCAAGAAATACCAATAAAGAATCACAAAATATTAACTACAATCAAACTCAGGAGGCACAGTATCTAAGTCTCAATCAATCTACATGGTACTTGGTACCAAATAGGCTCTGATAAACACCTGCTGAAAAAATAAATGAGATAGTCTTAAGCATCTAGCATTTGTCTCTGTGTTATAGGAGGTGAAGAGAATCATGAGGAACTGGCTCCATTCACCAGGAGCTACCTTAGTTTCTCTGTGGTCCACCTATGAGAGAGGCTAAGAGTACTCATTTCTTGAAAACAGCAAACAGTGTTCTTCACTATAGATTTGGAGCAAAAAATACTCACATGTCAAAAGCACTGAACTCCAAAGTTAAGCGAGCTGGAAGCCCGGCAGAATCACCTGCACAGAAGCATTATCACATTTCAATCATACGTCATTAAAAGCAGCATTCAGAACAAAAATATGTGTTAGTAATTCTGTTCTTTGTTGAGCCCAAAGTGCCCCATCCAATTCGTGGTTATAACAGAGGCTTAGCATAAAATGACAGAGCTTTTGTGAACTTGAGAAATTTGCCAAGAATATAGAAAAAAATTTCATTGGGAAAAAATATTTCCAATCCTCTCCCCCAGCAATACTAAATAATCAGTATTAGTTCTTTGGATTAATAACTGGGGTTTTACAGCTCCCTTTCCTTTTCCCACAATAGGGAAAAAAGAGGTAAAAATAAACTTGGGTCAAAAGTCAGGAAGTAAAATAGAAACTGGGGAAGACCAAGACCATTAGTTGTAAACAACAAAGGTGTCCTTGCTAAAAGAAAGCTGACCCTATACTGGAGGGCAGAGAAGGTAACAGAAGATGATGGAAATGGAGTTTAATATTGCCTACCATTGTAGTAATAACCCTTAATGTCCTTGGGAGCTTCATCCAGCCGATACTCATTCAGCTTCTTCTGGGTCAACTCATGCCAAAATCCAACATCCAAGGCACTGCTAAAGGGGGCAAACTGTAATTTAAAGAGTCCAGGATCCCCCGTAGCTGCTGCCATTATTTGGTGCCTCCTGAAAAACAAAATAGAACACAACTAAATAGCACAAAACATGGTAAAAATAAACATTTGTAATAATGCTTAAAGAAAGGAAGTAAAACTGTTTCTATTCCCAGCTAACACAATTTTATATAGAGAAAAATCCTTAAGACTCAACCAAAAAATGGCTAGATCTAATCAATAAATTCAGTAAAGTTGCATAATATAAAACTGACATGCAAGAATTAGTAGTGTTTCTAAGCACTAAAAATGAACTTCCTGAAAAAGAAACAAAGAAATCCACCCCCATTTATATTAGTATCAAAAACAATAAAATACTTAGCATGTTTAACTGAGGAGGTGAAAGATCTCTACTGAAAACTATAAGACGTTAATGAAAGAAGTCAAAGAAGACAGAAATGGAAAGGTATCGGTGTTCATGGATTGGAAGAATTAATATTGTTAAAATATCAATACTACCAAAAGACATCTATAGATTTAATGCAATCCCTATCAAGATTCCAATGGCATGTCTTACAGAGATAGAAAAAAACTCTCCTAACATTCAGATAGAAGCACAGAAGACCCCAAATAGAAAAAAAAAATCCTAAGAAAAAAGCAAAAGCAAAAGGTACCACGCTGGCATAAAAACAGACAAAGAGACCAATGGAAAAGTGCTTGAGCACTCCAGCCAAGGAGAATGAAGACGTTTCTTCCCAGCTAACCACAGTGCCTGCATTTCTCTGAAATCTCACCTTTTATCCTTTAAATGAATGAAAATTTTGTGCCTTACTACATTTTCTTTTATTATTTCATATTTTCCCTCAAATCATCAAATAAAGTTGACCCTCCTGGCAATCGTGCTGGTATACATGGTAACTCGCTATATTCCCTGCATACTCTCATGGGTACAGGTACCCCAGTCTGAGAAGCACAATACTAGAGAAACTTGGCAGTTCCAAAAAATGCGGGTTGATACATTCCCTTCACTTTCCATCCTGTCCAACTACCCCATCACCAAATTCATATTTCTGCAGCAGAATGTATAAATAGGCACACTAGATGGAATAAATTTAGAAGACAGTTTACATTAACTCAAAGAGATTTTGCCTGAGTTTTGTGCCAAGGTTATTAAATAGCTTTCAGTCTTCCAAACTTGTTGGATTTTAGAATTAGAGATGAGGAGCTTTGGAGTGATAGTATCTATATGAAAAATGCAAAGTTAGTATTACATAAAGGTGCTAAAAATCAACATGGAGTGTGGAGCAGAGCAGGGAGAAAGCTTCTGTGAAGGAGTAGGGTGTTGAAGATGGGCAGAGGGCTGAAGGAAAAAGACAGGGAACTGCTGTGGTAGAAACCAGGAAGCATGAGCCTAGCTCTTCTTAGTAGGAGGGCTGGTACCATGCAACAGCAATGCACACACAAAGATAAGTGGGTTACACAGGACGTGGATGGAGAAGGCTTCAAAAGTGAGGCTAGCTCTGGCCAGGTAGCTCTGGCCAGTATTTTGAATCCACACCAAAAGGTTGTGGGTTCAGAATACCGGTCAGAGCACATACCTACATTGTGGGTTTGGTTCCCAGGGCACAAAAAAATGGCCAATGGTTTCTCTGTTACATCAATGTCTCTCTCTCTCTGTCTCTGTCTCTCTCTCTCTCCCCACTCCCTCCCTCTAAAAATCAACGAAAACATATCCTTGGGTAAGGATTTTTTTTAAAAAAAAAAGTGAGGCTGAAAAATTCTGGAGTGGGAAGCAAGTGACAGTTTGGAACAGGAAATATGACAGAAGTATACGGTGGCAAAATGGCTTTGAAGGAGGCAGGAAGAGGGTCCTAGACCAGCAATCTTCAACCTTTTTCATCTCATGGCACTTATAAACTAACTTCTAAAATTCTGCAACACACCAAAAAATATATTTTTTACTGATCTGAAAAAAAATAGGTATAATTTTGAATAATTCACACCAGACAGCTACTGTTGGCTATTGTTGTTTTGGCTGCTGTTATTTTTTATTTGAAAATCTAAGGGAAAAGAGGTTAGTTTTCCTGACTAAATAGTCAGGTATTACAGGTTTTAAAAAAGAAGGATCGCTTACCCTTTGTGACAGCATGGATAGTTCTGAAGATTATTATGCTAAGCAAAATAAGCCAGCCAGTAAAAGACAAGTATCACATGATCTCCCATATATGTGGAATCTAATGAACAAAATAAACTGACAAACAAAATAGGTCCAGAGACATGGATTCATGGAACAGACTGACAGATCTCAGAGAGGAGGGGGGTTAGGGTGAGGGAAGGAGGTGAACCAGAGAATTTCTATGCATATATGCATAGCCGATGGACACAGACAGTAGTGTAATGAAGGCCTGGGATGGGACAGGGGTTGAGTGGAGGAGGAGGGAAAGGGGGGGAAATGGGAACATTTATAATACTATAAATGATAAAAAATAAATTTAAAAAATCAAACATTATCAAGAAAAGATTAAACCATATCTGCACACTGCATTAAAGACAAGAAAAAGTTTAAGGAGAGTAATGACAAATGGTGGCAAAAGAGACATGGATTCATGGAATGGAGGAGGAGGAAGAGGTGGAGGAGGAGGAGGAGGAGAAAATGAGGCCTGGTCAATGCCATTGGATTTTAATTTTTAAAAGGAGCTCAGTGGTAGCTTTCTAAAGTGGAATTTGAGGGTAGATTATTAAAAACAGAACATGCTGTAAGGGTAGAATCAGCATGGGAAAGTAACCAACTGTGTGTGTCCCGGCATGTTCCAGAGGCCAGTTAAGTTTGCTACTGGATTCTTCATAGGTGGTTGTTTTTCAACAGGCTTAATGTGTTTGTCATATTTAAAAATATTCTTTGCTGCCCTAGCTGGTTTGGCTCAGTGGATAGAGCGTCGGCCTGCGAACTCAAGGGTCCCAGGTTCGATTCCGGTCAAGGGCATGTACCTGGGTTGCGGGCACATCCCCAGTGGGGGGCGTGCAGGAGGCAGCTGAATCGATGTGTCTCTCTCGTCGATGTTTCTAACTCGCTATCCCTCTCTCTCTCTCCCTTCCTCTCTGTAAAAAAATCAATAAAATATATTAAAAAACAATATTCTTTGCCAACAGAAATCCAATTAGGAATTAATAAAACTTTCACAATGGGGACTTAACAAACACAGAAAAACAAACAGAAAACAAGAAGTGGGAACTATAATAATTAAATATTTTTCTACATAATCAATAAGCTTAGTCGATCACAAAGGACAATGCATCACTGTCTTTAAAACTCTCTGCTGCCTTAGTATGGACCTGCAACGTCATGCACCAGACAATGCCATCTCACACCTCCACTCCCCGCAGAAATGTGTTCATGGGTCACTGACTTCAGTCCCTATCTTCTCTAAACAAGAAGGTGCCACAGAACTGATCTGTATTGGTGGCTCCCTTGTTAACCAACCAACCAATCAACCAACCAACCAAACCCTTACTAGACTTAAGACACAGAGAGTCAGGTGTCATCCCTGCCTTAGCCCGCCAGTTTCTCGGCCTCATGCCTTTCCTGATGCCCCTTGGAAACCTCTCCCCATCTACCAGGAAAATGTCTCATCTCATAAGATCCTTTATGAAACTTTCATTAAAACCCATAGTAGCAGATATCAGTAGTTCCCTTCTCCAAAGGAATACTTCCATTAGAGCATTTTCTATTTTAAAAAAATATATTTTTTATTTATTTCAGAGAGGAAGGGTGAGGGAGAAAGAGAAACATTAACAATGAAAGAGAATAATTAATTGATGGACTACCTCCTGCCTGCTCCACAATGGGGACCAAGCTCACAACCAGGGCATGTGTCCTGACGGGGAATCAGGTGTGACCTCCTGGTTCATAGGTCTATGCTCTACTACTGAGCCACGTTGGCCAAGCTGTCCTTGCTTTTTTGATCATACCCTTTTAAAAATCATTGAATATTGTTCCCTCTCATCTGTGGGGGATATGTTCCAAGATGCCCAGTGGATGCCTGAAATTGCAGATTGTATCGAACCTATATACTATGTTTTTTCCTATACATTCATACCTTTTCACTTATAGAAACACTTCATGGCTTCTCTTTGGCATATCTCAATTGCCAGTATCACTACTCTTGTGATTTGGGGCCATTGTAAGTATGAATAGGAGTCACTTAAACACAAGCCCTGTGATAATGAGACAGTTTATCTGGTAACAGAGATGGCTACTACGTGACTAATGAGCAGGTAGCATATACACTGGACAGAAGGATGATTCACGTCCCAGGTGGGATGGCATGAGATTTCATCGTGCTTCTCAAAATGGTGTGCAAGGTAAAACTTATGACTTGTTTATATCTGGAATTTTCCATTTAATATTTTTAAACCACGGTTGACTCTAGGTAATGAATACTGTGAAACTATGGATAAGGGAGGACCACTGTAATAGCGGCTGTACAGAAAAGAAAACAGGAAGAAGGAAGAGGTTAAGTAACTTGCCCAGTCACACAGAAAGTGGAAGAGCTGAGTTTATGACCCAGGTCTGGTGGCTTCAAAGCCCTGACTTTCATACTATACTATACTTCCTTGAAGGAAGGCGTACCCTACTCCTCCCTTTCAGAACCTTTATATTGCCCATCAGCCCCACATATGCTAAAAAAATAACCAATTATTTTGAAAACACATACACACACACACACACACACACACAAAACACATTTTCTCTTGACTCGACAACCAAGAAGAAAAAGCCAGAGCAATCACTGAATATGGAAGTAACTCAACACAGTAGCAGAGAGTGGTACAAATGGGTTTCCTCTGTGTGATGGGTCATCAGGTCCCTACACACTCTGTTTTGTTTTTTTTAATATATTTCATCGATTTTTCACAGAGAGGAAGGGAGAGAGATAGAGAGTCAAAACATCGATGAGAGAGAGACATCGATCAGCTGCCTCCTGCATATCTCCCACTGGGGATGTGCCCGCCACCCAGTTACATGCCCCTGACCGGAATCGAACCTGGGACCCTTCAGTCCGCAGGCCGACG